GGTGGACAACTGCTCCTGAATTCCTCACAAAGTAGAACAAATTTTATTGACCGAAGAGAGATGAATGGCTGAGCTGACCCCATCCAGGGAATTAAAAAAGGTATACTATACAGCTGTCTCAAACTTCCAGTCATATGGCTATGTATGCATATATTTGATATATACATACTTGTAATCATTCGTGGGATTGATCCATTTTCATTACCAGTAAGTGGCACATTTTCAAAGGACGAAAATATTGAGTGGTTGAAAATCATCCTAATCATCACCTATGGTCTATTTGGATGAAAGAATGGCAAGCATCCCCCAAGTTGTCAACATCCTTCTTGGTTCCCCAATGTAGCGATCCATCTAGCTCCTGCACGCGAGTCGATCTCATTGATACATCTCTGCTACGGTCTTCCTCTCTTGCATGTTTCATCCTTTGGTTGCCATTCTGTCACCAGTCTCCTTTCGCCAACACTCTGGTGTGTTATAGTAATAGGTGTTTACCCTTTCAACTGGTACAAAATTGACACCTTTATACAAGGCATCATGTTTGCAATAACCACAACACAAGCAGTCAAAATTGGAACAGATGACGCCAATAGGCGTACGTACGCGTTCGTACGCCTTTTGGCGTCATCTGGTCCAACACCAATGGAGATGAGGCTCTAAGAAAAGCTGTCTCGGGTGTGGACCAATCAACTTCAAGGACAGTGCATATCATTATCATCATCAGAGTTGTTTCTTTTTGTTTGCATTTTGACTGCTTGTGTTGTGGTTATTGCAAACATGATGCCTTGTATAAAGGTGTCAGTTTTGTACCAGTTGAAAGGGTAAAAACCTATTACTATATTTTGCCACTGGTAAAGGAGGTCTCATAGTGTAAACTCTGGTGTGTTCTCCAGTTGCCTCCCTCTAGCAAATGTCTTAATTCGTTGAGTGAACTTGTTTTTTGCGTGTTTCATTACATTCTTGTCTCAACATGACGTACACATCTACAACAATTGTGAATCAAATACAATGTGTTAACAACGTAATGTACCTGACAATACATGTGTTATCTGTGTGGGAGTGTAACACCACATCAATAAATTACAGGTGTTCTTAATATGTACGGCGTGTATAATTACTTGATTACATTACGTAATGTTAGGCGTGAGAAGTGGCACAGTCAGGGTTCAAATGTGGCAAATTCTAAAATGATCCGGCAATTGACTCAATGGGGATTACACATAGTAATCTTCACCCCCCTACTGGCAGACTAATGCCCCAGGTTACTCTTGCACATGGGATGATCGTGGTCTCTTGAGTTGTCATCTGGTAAAACAAGACAAACTTGACACTTGAGCACAGTGAGTGATTCGGGCACTGTGCAATGGAGCTAACTTCATGTTTTTATTTATATTTTTATTCCTGGCTAACATCGGTGGCGAGTGATATCGGAACCGGTAGTGTAGCGGTTAGCGCTCTGCGCTACAAGTTCGATTCTCGACCACGGTCAACACCAGTGACGGATATCTGAATCGGTTCTGGGCCTCCTCTAGGTCGACTCAGCCTCTAATTAGTACCTGGTGCGATGTGTAAACATCGCCACTGGGGAGACAAAGGCGGCCGGGCGTGGTGCTGGCCACCGACTCGCTCGTGTGCCGTGCACTTGCTCCAACAGTCTGTTACAGGCTGTACGGGGATCTTTGTCTCTACACAACCTCCCCCCCCACCACCTTAACCAACCTGCACCGAGCAGAGTGGTGAAGTATGGGCAGATAACCCCCATGATGGACACTGCATAGCGAGGCCTTAATAATCCAGAAGTGGATTGAGAAAAGGCTTACATTATTCATTTATTTTTGTTATTGGTTATTGTTAGACATTTTTACGCTGTTGTTTATAGTGAATATCGTGAGTGAATGCGCTGTACATTTTTTTGGCATATAAACTGCTGACGCCGGATATTGAATAGTTGGTGTGTTTTTCTTTAAATCTATCACACCAATAAAACTACATGAAAAACTGCAGTGATCTAGAAATTCAACAAGTCCCCGTGACAGTGCTCTGCCAGACATTCCAAAGAGAACCCATTCATGTTCTTGGTAATCTTGAAATATGTTACTCGTATGCAGGCAATGTTTTTGCTTCAGCTTGTATGACATATATACTCCTGTAGTAGTAGTAGTAGTGATGACCATGTCCTTAATTTACTCAGGAAAGCTTTAATTAGCTCATGACTCTTCGAAAGCATCCTGCATTGAGATGTCTGTCTAGCTCCATGCGTACGAGGGTGTAAAGCTCAAAACTCCACTTCTGTTGGATTTCAATACACACTGCATTTACCTACGTGACTTTACCGAAAAAAACAAAGAGTACATACTGCATTGCTTTTCTGTCATCTTCTAGCTACCTTCCGGGACCAAGCCTGCACCTCCTACCTGGTGTTCAACCGTGCTCAGCTTCTGAGTACGAATGAGATCAGGCAGCTTTCAGAGTGACTTGGTTGTCTTCGAATCACGTGTGTGTATATCCTACGAATGTGGGCATCTGCAGGCATATGAATGCGACGTGTGCATCTGTGTACACTTTGCGTGCTTATTCATATCGCAAGTTGGTCGTCACATGTTGGGATTTTATTGCTATTTGCATAGCTTGTCTCACTAGTTTTGTATACTTGCATCGATGTTAATCGTTTTTTGAAGTGCAATGGAGCCAAGAAACAAAAACTCCCTAATGTGGGAGTATTACTTTATTCATTTAGTCGTTGAAATGCCAGATTTGGCTATGATGGTGGAAACATTTACTTTTGAAACTTGTTTTCTTTACAGTTCCCAAGCAAACAGGAAAACCAACATAGTATCCCATCATAATGCTACTGAACTCTACTACTTCACAGCGTTGTTCAGGGCTTTCATTCATGGAGCTGCGCATGGCTGGCCCACAGAGAGATGACTGCTTAAACTGAATTTAAGAAAAAAGACAAATATAAATATTTCTCGGGATTGGCTTCCCATCCCTCTGGGCACCTCAGCTCGCTTGCGCACCCGCGGCACCTCATTCCACTCGGCAGGGCCCTTCCAGGAGCTGGGGCCGAGAATAACTGTGAAGCTTGTCCTCACTTTGAGCCCTCTCGGCAGTCTGGCTTGGAACAACAAAAGCACCGAGGCCCCAAAACTCACGCTTGAAGAAAGCAACACGTCCGAGCTCAGACTATTATGAACAGAATATAGAGTTTTCTTTTGTCCAGCAATATGAAAGCTTGATTTACGTGTTGATGGAAACCACTTTTTTCCGGCGTTTTCAGTGTTCATTCCACGTGTGCAAAATAACAGTGGTGTGAATTATAATCCGAGGGTGGTCTTTTTGGGTGAGGCCTTCTGACGTCAACTCCGAAAGATGTCTGCAGTAGTTCGTGGCAAAAGCGTGATTTGAAAATCATGCTCAACACACAGCCCTACCTGGAAACCACACTTGGAGTATGAGTGCCTGCGAGAACCTACGCGCTCAATTTTTAGAATTATACTTAATTGCTGTTGGTCATTTTGGAAGTGTTTGAGATGTTCTACGAAAAATAATATTCATAATAAGACGTACATTTTTTTGGAATGAAAACATTATTCTGCTGTCCCCATGAGATGGCACTGAAACCTCCCAAAGATGTATTGACAAGGCGAAATCTATTTTGTTTGTGTTAAATTGAGCATTGTGTAACTTGTAGTGTTGACTTCAAGTGTTTTGCTTAAAACCACAACATATTAGTGACTTACTCTTTTATTGCGAAATTGTAAATTAAAAGTTTAATTTGCTTCCTATTTACATTTGAAAAGTATGGTAGTTTATTAAATGAACCAGGGATTATGTATTTTCTTCTACACATTACTAATCACTGTATGTGGTGGTCGTATTAATACATTCAGAATTTTATAATTCTAAGCATGAAACTTAAAATTTGAACTTAATTGCAAAAACAATTTATTTAAATGCAATGCACTTAGATGTCTGAAAATGTGTCTCACAATCCGTGCATGAACCCGTGCATCCTATCCACGACATATCGAGCAAGCACGCTACACTGATATAATCCAGTCTGTGCAGTCTAACGTGTACACAGCTTCCCAATGTTACCCTCTCATCTGGCCATCTATATGCTTCTGTCCATGGGTGTTAGAACCCTGGTCAATCGTGTTAAACCAAGGTCAGTTATTGTCTCAAAAAATATTCTTTGCACATAAATGAATATGAATGTGTAAATTATGGGATTTCACTTTGTTTTAAATGTTGGATTACATATATCCTGGATTGTACACTTCATGCTTCAGCAGACCATGTCTTAGCAGGCTATCCCGATGAAGGGCAGCGTTGTGGAATTTGACACCGTGCAATACTACCCAGAGTCTCCAGATCATATGCAATCACACCATAGAACATTTTAAAAATAGTTGTGTGTTAGAGCTGCACGGGTATAATGGGTAGATTGTGCATGGTAATGTGTCCCTTAGGCAGACAGCCCATATAAGCCTGCACTGCATTGTTTTAACAAGGTAAATACAAAACTCCTTCACATACAACTGAAATGCAGAGGAAGTTAGGAATGCTAAACTAATTCATGTTAACAAGCACTGGGGAAAGCAGCACCGCAAGGCTTCCAAAGCAGCCATCAGCTGTTATTTCATTAACTTGAGCTGAGCTCGGCTTGTTTATACTGCGGCAAATAGGCAAGAGAGTTCCTGCCTCCTTTCCAATTGCCAAGATTGGAGGAGCGTGCGGAGAGGAAAGCTTATCACACCTCCCCATCTGTAACTCAACACCGTGGAGCTCCATCCATTCTTATTGATGACTGGGCAGCAGGCAGGCAAGCAGACAGGGAGGGAGGTAAAAGATGCAGGCTCGGGAGGGAGGGAGGGTGAGTGGGTGTTGTAAAGATGGGGGGTGGTGGTGGTGGTGGGGGGATGTGGAAGAAGGGGTGGGTGTGAGTGCTTAAGTCAGAGTGTGGGGGAGGAGGACTTGGAGACGGCCCTCGGGTGAGAAGCAGATAGACGTGGGAGCTAACACCGCTTGCCACGCTCCGAGACTCTTTCCACATAACAGTGGGGAAAGCCTTGAAGGAGACTCCTGTTACCTTTTCATAATTTCAGCTTTGCCCGCCTATAAGTTGGCGTCGCGGTGCATGTCTCGCCAGAACTCTGTACGGGAATCGGACACTCTTTAACGGTGTTTCGTTCGAGCTCTTCTGGATATTCGATCGTCTGTTTTTTTTTCTTTCTCCCCTTTTTTGCTGCGTTCGAATTCCCCGAACTTCGGAGACGTTTTAAGTCGGTGATCGTGGAGTGAACGAGCGAGAGACCAGTGGGGAGAGAACTTTTGAAAATTATAAATATAGAACTCTTTCGGGTTTACGCTTACAAGAACGCCTTCGCTGGGTATTCATTTTCAACATGTATACAGATAATCGTTGAACACAATTTCATTCTTGAACGCTAGTTGATTTCAAGGGCAATATTAATTGTACCTTTTTTTGCACTGTTATTCGTGTTAAGAGTCACGTGTGCATACTGAAAACACTCATGAAAAAGGAAAGGGGACTTGTGGACGTTACTCAAGAACTTAACAAAATGAAATTTTCGTGGACACCACCGGCCGCCAGGAACACATAACCTGTGTTGGATTCCTGGAACGAGCATCGCTCAGTCAGAAAAAAATCCGACAGATTATTGGAACAGGTAAGATGTTTTTTTGTTTGTTACCTGTCTAAACTGTCGTAAAATAAACACACGTGTTATAAATGATAGCACGAGTTCATGACTATCAAAGGATAGTATACAATTCAGTAATTCCGCATAGGTAAAACGAACTGCTTACGAAGATGAGTGCCGTTCGTTACAATTACGCAAGCAACACTTGATTACAAACTACTGCTAGAATCTATAATTGAAGCTCTTACCTAGATGTCCACACACAATGCCATGTTCTTCTGGTAAGTTATATTTTCTGGTCGCTATGGGCGGGGGGGGGCTCTATTATTGTACGTGAATATATGAGGCCAGCAAACACTCATACGATGCTGCTTTGTGCAGTATTGCTTGTATGTTAATCTATTTTAATGTGTTCATATTACTTACTGGACAATGTTAAAATGTCCCGTTGGTAGATGTGGAGTGCAGATGCCATGACAAATGCCAATTGTCTAAGAGTATAATGGCGTTGTAACAGGTGGAAATGGAATTGAGGGTGTCGGTATATATATTCTATAGAACGTCACCACTTATAGCAGTGTATCTTTTACTGCAGCCTTGCACCCCTTTGGTTATCAATCGTAAATTATTTTTTACAAGGTTAATAATTGCATAGCGTTGATGAAACAAAGTAGTTGTACTTACGTGCCCGTGCTTAATTTGTGTTTCGATTATTTACCTCCCCAAAAGACCTGTCAATGTTTCTTACCCCTAGAAGGGGCATCTCACGCCCCCAGGTTAACAACCACTGACTTATAGCTACACCTGTGTGCCTCTGCAGATTCCTTTAACGGAACGACTCCACGGGAATCTCTTATTCGCTAACTCGCATTGCCGGTATAATATTCACCTGCTTGGGCCGTTCGGGTGAAACTTAAAGGGTCACTGGTCCGGCCAGCACGTGTGGTTTACACCTTGCCTCGGGGGCTCGCATCCTGGTATTTGTCGCGCAAATTAGCACGCGCTAATAGCTGACAATAGCCCCCAGTGTGAGCCGGGATAATCAAAGTTAATTAGTGTGCCCGTGCGGAGAGCCCAATTCAGAAGGCTCGTGTGTAGCTCATTGGATACGCACACAGTAGTGTCACTTTAGACGGCAGGACAAGTAAAAAACACACACACAATGCACACTTTTGTATTTGTTCTGGTATGCATAAGTAAACACACTACATATCACACCCCCACCTCCATTCAATTGGCGAGTAATTTGGTTTGCATAGAGCCAAGGTGATTTATTTGCTCTGCACACAAAGATGTTGATTGTAGTCGATGCTTTCCGCCTCAGATTGGCTGTGCAGTTGGGCAGTCACCAGCACGACCACCACCGCCGCCGCCGCCGCTTAGCCTCGAATTCGCAAGGAGGCGTCATGAGCCACCACCTTCATGCGCTGCTGCTGCTGGCGCTGTGCTGCATTCGCCTGCACGCTGTGAATGCTAAAGGTGAGAGCTTCAACAACCATAATGTCCCTGTTTATTCTAGATTTGAAGCTTTCGTGACTGCAAGGATTCATATTCTTAGGTTTTTTTTTTTCCGGTAAAGTCACGTAGGTAAAAAAACATTTAATTAATAAAAGTAAATAATAAAAAATTAAAAATCACGACGTTTCGGAAGCAACACAAGCCTCCGTCTTCAGGTGGAGCAGCTGTCGTGGCTGTGACGGTTCCACCTGTAGACGGAGGCTTGTGTTGCTTCCGAAACATCGTGATTTTTTATTTTTTATTTTGTTTTATTTTACTTTTATTAATTTAAATTTTTTACCTACTTGACTTTACCGAAAAAAACCCTAAGAATATAAGTCCCTGTTTATGTTGTTGTTGTTGTGATACCACTGTGTAGAATTTCACGCTTGTGCTGTACGGCCCTCCGATGAGTTTTCGGGTTGTACCGTGTGTTTTCCTGGCACGATGTCCAACGTTTCGCCCCACGTGCTTGGACACCTACGTCAGTTTCTGGAGAAGCTCAGGTCCTGAAGAAGCTTCATCACGTGGGGTGCAAGCAACATTTGTAGGCACTTTGCTCTGTTTTTTTAAATATATATTTCTTTGCGTCTGCTCAAATTAATCATGAGCATAAAGAGAGCCATTGAGATGGAAAATGTTTAATCAAAATTCAGTATTAAATCATTAAATCAGAATGGGTGATGTAATACTGCATGCCATCTTGTGTTTAATGGTATTAATATAATTTGCTTCGTATTTGCTATTCATATACAAATAGCACATTGGTTTTGGTTTTTCAAATCTGAAGTAAGACCATTTGATATTACGCACTCTAATGAGTTTGTGCCATCACGAATGCGCATAAATATATTAAAGTACTGCACTTCAAATTGTCCCCCCCCCCCACATTGTTGCATTAAGTACTTTAAACCATTGTTATAAATTCTAGAAATAAACTAATACAAAATCCGAATTAACCCAAACCGCATTGTTCAGCCTTGCATACCGTGCAGAGACGTTAAGACCTCCTGAAACTTCGTTTGAAAAGGCGTAAGGCGCTTGCCGTTCCAGTAAACACAACTGCATAGGATCTGCCGCATGGCTTCAACTGGTCTGTAACATCCATTTCCTTCGCCGTGGCATGACGGAATTCATTGACAACTCCGTGATGCGAAATGAGCCATAGGTGTCAGGTGGAAGCTGTGCCAGATTTACAGTGGCCTTGCCCGTATGAGAGACGAGGTGCAATTGGAGTTGTGTATACTGTACAGGGTGGTCCAGGTGTCTCGTGATCCACGCATTAATTGACCCCTAAAATGTTTTTCCTTTGCATATTCATTCCTATTTAAAATACACATTAAATGAAAATAAATTCAGTTTCAGAGAATTAAAGGTGAGGATGGGGGGGGGGGGTCACAAGCTATCTGGACCACCCTGTACATAAAATATCACGTTTGTCTTTCATCCCTCTGACCATTAATGATATTCTTAAAATATACACACAGTCACAATAAAGATGATTGTGATGATGGGGCGGAGTGGTGGCATTGTGGTTAGCGCATTGTGCTTTGAACCTAGTGATCTGACCGAGTGACCTGACCTAGTGACCTGGCCAGCGAGTGGTACCTGAACCGGTCCTGGTTCACCCCCTTCACCAACTTGCATTGACGAACGTGCTAAAGTATGATCAACGCCCCCCCCCCCCACCGTGACTGAAAGACATGGGGAAGCCTTAATCCAGCAGCGAATTGATCATGGCCGATGATGATGGCGATGACAGATACAAAAGAGAGGCGTTTGTGGAAAAAGGACACTATTGAGGAACCAAAGCCCCAAATTCCATCGACAAGCTCATTTTGGCAGGTGTTAATAGCCTTTTAAATGTAGACATGCAGTGTATATATATACATACAGTACAAGACTTGAAGCAGGCATGTCAATTGAAAAACATATAGGTGTGTGTGCATAATTACATCTTTATCAGGCCTGTATTATGATTTACAAATATAACTACTTTCCTGAAGTAACATATACCTAAGGTCATAGTTTCTGGAATGCCAATTTCTTTGGACCAAATAAAAATCAATCTCACCGGAAAAAACAAGTTAGATTATAGTATTGTATTTAGATGCTGGCTTTAACCTACATCATTGGGCCCGCAGCTTGTGTGGTCAAAGAGTTTGCGAATGCTTGCCACGTGTGCTGGTGGCAGACATTCCAGGCTGCCAGCACAAGCCCATTGATCCACAAACACAAATGTTTTGAGCACATGCTGGAGAATGGCTACTCTGCCACTCGGAACTCGCATCCTTTGGCGGGAAATTATCTTTCAATGGCTCAGAATTAAAACAAATTATTTGGGGCTGTTGCTGTTGCTGCTGCTGCTGCGTTAAGCGCCATACACAGAACAAGTCAACACATTCGTCAAGAAATACTGTGGCCTTAAAAGGAAAACATATTGGGTGACGTTTTGGGCAAAGGCCCTTCCCCATAACGCATAAATAGAGATGCCAGACAGATTTCGTGGATAATCAGAGTTGGAGGCTGCAGAGGCACTTGTCATACCAACACCTTCGTTGGGAATGTACGCACTGCGCACTCCAGAACATCAGGTTGAAGAATTACTTCCAAAAAAAGTAGCGGCGTATTATTTTGGGAAATAAATAAACCACCATGTGGTTCTACTTTTTAGATAATACCGTACAACGATTTAAATTGGGGATGAAAAGAGTTTTTGACATTATTTTGTAAAAACGCGACTTTGATCTTTTATTTTCATCACTTTTATCTACACGTGAATCTCGCGTAGGCCACAAGGTCTCCAGATGTGGCTTATACAATGGGTCAGCATGACGGTATGCCACGCATCTTTTTGGTAAAACGCGCGTGCGTGAGAGAACCATCTGCTTGGGAAAGGGCTCGCGTTCGCCTCCAAACCAGCAGAACGCAGTCTAGACGATACTCGGTATTACTGAGGTTCGCTTTGACTTGTTCTAGTCTCCTGCTGGTGGTGGCCTTTGTGTTTTTCTATCAAACGAGGCACGTGTAGGAATGCTTGTTGTGTTGTGCCATTCGCCCCCACTCCTTCTGAATGAGATGCTCTTGTTCCATCGCGTGTTTTGCTGTACTTACATTATTAAAAGCCACAGTTGCGTTTGGATTGATAAAGCAGCACCTTTCAGCACGGGGTTATATGTCAATAAATGTACATGTATATACAATTATGACACTATATTTGCCAATTAATTCTGTATTGGATGATGGTTTTACACTGCTTTGCGCCACAAAATATGTTCTCCTTAATCTGCAACGAACAGAATATAAACATGTATGTGTTTACGTTACTTTACACGAGTTATTTGTGTTGCATTTTTACTGACGTTGCAATATAAAAACTAATTTCCACTTTTATCATAATATTTGTATTACTATTGGGAGTACAAAACAACAAAAACATTGTCCGAAAAATAATACAAATAGTTGTGGACAATACCTTTCAGTGTGTGTTGGTGACACAGATATCACGATTAGTGAATGTGTCGGTGTACTCGCTTATTGCGGCAGATTTTTGCCTTAGAAAATATTTCCATTACTTTTTTGTTACGTTCATACATAAAGTGTCGACGGAGGTATAATCAGTTATTCAAAAGTATCGATAGACAGCAGCTTGAACGACGAGGTTCAAATGTTGACAACATTTTCGTTTTATATTTAAGGTTGTTTTTACTGAAAAGCTTAAGTGACCTTTGGTATTGGTATTTTTACAAATTTTATACCATGTTGAACATCATTATTCCTGGTATTTCTAGATTATTAAAAGGGCATTTGATTCAGTAGGAAATAACACAATCGTATAAGATATCACAAATCAATGGGTTAATTAATACATATTACCAAAACCATTTATCATAAAGATGGAACAGCCACACTCAGCTTCTTGGTTCTTTCGGTAAATTCACGTAGAAGGGAAATAATAACATAATAAAAATAAAACATAATAAAATGAAAATTATCACGACGTTTCGGCCACAACACAAGCAGCCGTCCTCAGGTGAAGACACAGAGCTGTAGGAAAGACAGCGTTCCAATGAACACCGCCAAGCTTGGCAGCGTATATTTAAGCTGGGTCGGGGGGAGGAGAGCGCCTTGACAGAGGAGTTTACATATCAACACCGGAATTAAGCATATTGATGGACAGCTGCTTGTGTTGTGGCCGAAACGTCGTGAAAATTTGTATTTTATTATGTTTCATTTTGATCATTTTATTATTTCCCTTCTACGTGACTTTACCGAAATAACCAGGAAGATTAATCCCTGCAGTCACGAAAGCTTTAAATCGAAAGCCACACTCAGATTATACAAATAAGAAGATACACACTCATCTAGGCTACTCACAGCAACTTTGCAATATTTTTTGAACAATGGGTTGAGGAAATAAAGGCATAAATATGAATGGAGAGAGGATTAGCCATCTTATATCTGATGAAAACAAAGCGATTAGAAGCACCAATGAAAATGGACTACGGGAAATTACTGAAAAGCCTAACAAAAGGGGCTACACATTTAAGGGTAAAAATAAATGAGTGAACCAAAAATCACATACAACAAGTTTGAGAAACAAAATGAAATAAAACCGATTGAGATTACCTTCTGGACACAAGAGGTGAATTAGGACAGGATGTAACACCTAGGGGAAACTGAATTTGTGAATTAAAAGTAAAAGATACCAGTGTGCTTGAAGAAGAAAGTTTTCGTCCACCGTAACATATGAATCAGAAACGTGGACACGAACAAACAAAATGGAACAAAAATTGACAAGTACGAAAAGGAAATATGGAAAAATGCATGCTTGGATTAAACGGAGAGGCAGGCAGAGGGACACATTGATCAGCTGAGACTAATGATGATGATGATGGAATGGCAGTCAATGGAGAATACACCACAGAGAAGAGGATGACCATCCCTACCACAGAGATAGATAGATGAGACCACCTCATTAG